CATTCTACAAAGAGTTTGGCCGGTGGTCTACCGCTGGCATAGGCCTGAATGTTCTTGCTAACATCTTCATTTATAGCCTAACGGTGAACAGCTTCAAAAATTTCCTGAAGTCGAAGTTTAAGCAGGCCTTTTTTATCCAATCCAACAAAGGTAATTCTTTAAAATAATCTAGTTCTTTTGTCTGACAGTCAGGTAATTATTATTATTTATTAGAATAAGTAAAACTGATAAAAAAGTTATTTATCTAAACAATCAGACAACAACTTATCAAGTATCAGTAAAAATCAACCAGGCAGGACAGTATCCAAGTGTACAGCAAAAGGAAGGGGAAGACACTCAACACAGATCAACAGAACCAACTTCCCTGCCATACCACGCCAAGAAATGGGTTTGGTACTTTAAAATAAAATCACTTTTTCGGATAGCAAGTCAGCAGTTTTATAGAAGTCTAAAAATAAATTCGATCAATTGAATCGGTAAAAATAAAAAAACTGAAATCGTTTCAGAGCGAATAAAGGAAGGAGGGAAGACAAAAGTGAAAATCGGTAAGTGAATATAGAATCGTCTTGCTAAATAACTGAACGTTTTTATTGTTCTATTGAATTAAAAGATCAAACGGAATTCCTATCATATTTATTTTTTAGATATTGTGAACGATGGACCATTGGAAGTAAAGACAACAGAACGAATAATGATAGAAGGATGGACAGAAAAAGGATACATGAAAGAGAATGACCAGATCGACAATCAGCCCATAGAAATCGAGGAAACGGGGATTTGATCGCAGAGACCTACTGCAAAGATTGGACTATGAATGAAAAATATGGATGTTTTCGCTTGTAGGTCTACAACCTACCAGGACGCGCGCCGAGTTGGACTCGTCGACGGTCCTGTGGAACAGATATTTTACGAGTATCACCCGTTAAGTTTTCGCAAGCTCACGTTGAAAATAATGTCCTCATTTTTTCTATTTTGGATAACCCGTTTTCCCCAAAATACATTCTTAATCAAACATGGCTCTCAACAGACAACATTCATATTTGATACTGGAAATATCTGATTGGAGGAATTTTAGTTTTTTAGTTTTTATATTCTTCCTCCTACTCTGCTGATGATTGAACAATAAGCAAAAAACATTGACTGAATTTTAAACTTATTCGATTACCATGAATTTATAACGTCATTACATGCTTAATTTGCAATGTTTATTTTCCAAAAATTGTTTTGAATGCATTTTAATTTGAACTAAACTTAAATGATTTCCTTATTTTAATCCATCCAAATGAACAACAACAAATGCACGCTAGAATGCATCGCATTAGGAAAACATCCAGTCAAAACAACCATCCGATCTTTAACAACAATCCAGACTCAAATTATAACAATAGCGTTAAAACTCACTTCAAAATTAAATTTAAATAACAATTAAGTTGACACTCACGGGGGCTGTCATGTTGGTCACCAGGACACCACTTCCCAGCCGGACACCGTCCGCCCTGTTCAGAACAGGTAGGGTTACTCCGTGTAGCACGTTTAGTACATCTATCGTTAGCAGCACCCTCCACCTCTGACTCAGACTGGGCGGTGTTGCTGTGTAAGCACCTCCCGCACAGTAGTAACCGGCCGAACATTTCACCTGGGCCGATTAGATAGCATGCATGAGCAGATCTATTAATTATTTATGATTGGGATGGTAGTTTGAAATATATTAATCAGTGTTGGTCAGATTTAATTTTTCTGTAGAAAAAAAAAACTTCTACACAAGAGCAACATGAACATCAGCTATTTCTAACTCTCATGGACCACCCTTGTCAAATAAACACTTACCAAAATAAGAACCAGTAAATAAAACTCACAGTGGTCATAGTTGTATGGAGCTCCGGACAGTCGTACCCCTCTTTACAAGGTTGGCAGGTATCAGGGGTGGAAGCACCTACAGCAGCACTGTAGGTACCGGCTGAGCACGGTGTTTGACTGTAAACGAGAGGGTGAGTAACTTGCTTTTCTTAACAGTATCTTATAATAGCTTTCTGGGGACCCTTACAGTGGTATTTATTCGATAGGTTGTTAAACAAAATTTACTGGGCCGCGCTCAGCCTGTCATTCCACCTATCACCTATACTATTGTACATTTTTTTCCGTACTATTGTACATGATACTGGTAGCTTGAGGTCCCCAGGTAAAACAATTTTTTTTCTTGTTGTTTTAGTGACAGTGTTGTTTTCTTACACGCTGGTATGTTTAAAAATTCGGGTTTGCACAGTCATTAAAGTTCAAAATCTCACATTTCATTATAAACCTAAATGCTAAAACAAGTTGATTCTTATAAGCCAGACTCTACTGGAATGTGAAACTGTAGTGAAATGAATTGTGAAACTGTAGTGAATGTTATTAAACCCACACACTTAGCTTAAGAGTTAGACCCCTCACAATAATACCCAGCCTCACACTGGTGGGTGGTGGACTCTGTCTGTCCGGACTCACAATAATAACCCTTCTCACAGGGCTTACACGAGGTCTGTCCGGCGAGGTCCTGGTACTAGCTTTTCCTGCCTCGCAGCTGGACAGGGCTTACATTGGTCTGGCGACTTGGCTCCTGGTGGGGGAAGAGGTGGTGTTAGCTAGAACCGAACACAAGGAAATGTTTTGAAATATGATATATAAATGTATAACATTGTACGAAACAATTAAGAATTGGTGCCCCTAAACAACAAATACTGAAAACAGGAAATTCTGTTGTCAGACATTTCAGTTAAATTTGTTTCCTTAATCTTGAACGCATGTAAAACGTAAGTTGGTGTAGAAGAGTTCAGTTAATTGATTGCCTAATTTAACTGACCAGTAAGAGAAGGTTCCATGTAAGTAGCGATACCACACGGTGAGGAAAGGTACTTCCCGCCTCACAGTAGTGCCACTTGGGACATTTTCTGTTCTTTCCGTCCGTAACAGGATTACGGGATGCGGCGCCGCTCCGATCCTGCAGTAGTCACCTGAGGTTTAGTGTGGAGAACATTTTGTAGGGGATAATTAGATGAAAAGTTGTTTTCTTCTTGACTCGATAACGGACAGGTCTTTTTTCAGCAGTGTCCGTTTTTTTAATACAGGTGATGCCCAAATAAAATAATATCCATAATACACGTGATGCCCAAATAAAGTAATATCCATAAAACACGACCCCCAGGTAAGTCGTTTGTACAATGTACGTGAGAAACGGAACAAGTATCAACATTACCATCTCACTCAAGCTCAGTATGCAGCATATATTTCATCCGATATGAACATTTGATTAGGTTAAACAGTTTAATAGTTAATTAAGTTATTGATATAACGCCAGTCGTTTGTACGTGAGACAAAGACCCGGCTACATTTACCTGAGGTATCAGGTTTAAAGGGTTAACGCTTATTAAGACGGATCAACGTCCCACGAAACCTAATGACTATGGTCTGAAGATTTGATTTATATTAAATATACAAAGGCCTCCGCCGTATTACTTTTCAACTTTCTTCTCGATAATTTAAAAGTGTTGTTGTTTACGTGATCAAATCAACTCTTTAATACCTGCAACCTTTAGCAGAAAATAGGAAGTGGATGTGGTTCATGCTAGCTCCGTGGCCCGTGCACAAAGGACTTTATTTTGTGCAATTATTCCAAATTTCATTCGGCTAGATCCCTGCGATTTTTGCATCGTCAGTGAGCCAAGGAAATTTTGTTTTGTTATAATCTTAATGTCACGCACGAAACGATATTTGGGGGATTTCCAACGCGTTTTGTTTAACAGACTTTGGTTTACTTGCTGTCAGAAGCGATTGTATTTGTATTTTTTGATCCCTTAATCTTATGTTTACGCTTATCATCCCAATATAGCACTCTCATAGTCTCATAGCTGGCTCTGGAGTTTGCGGTTTCTCAACCCCCTGTAAAATGTAGTTGCCGTTGTGGTATCATCTGAGAGGCCTTCTGTATTTCAAGCGTTGAATGGCCTAACACAATTTATTACAATTTGGCTCGATCCGATCATTCGAAATATCTATAAAATACAAAATGAACCTTCGATTGAAAACAATTAAACATAAATATAATCGTCATAATTTTAATCGACGGATACCTCGAATGAGTGGTGAACGCAAGTTATATCAGAAAGATTTATTTTAATCGGGCACTCAGGGACTGCAGAGGAATAAGCATAATTAGTAGAATGAATCTGCCAATGACGAAGCCAGCTTAGCTAGCGATTAATTCCCCATTTAAATATATTGTATAACTGCGTCTAACAGAAACCCCTGGCTTCAAATATAGTAGGGGGACTGAGCAATCATTGTTAACGTAGGGGGACTGAGCAGAACCGGATTACCCTGTTAAACGCAACTAAAAACCTTTTATTTTTTAACGACCACTTTCACCGTTCTAGTGAACAATTTTTGAGACCAGCTCTTGCAAAATGGTCATTTATATTTATTAGCATAAAATCAGAATAGAATAACAAGGTTTAGGACTATCTTTATGATTAAGTTAACTTTAAATACGAAATAAACCTCCGAGTTCTAAAAAGCGGAAAAATAAATAACAAGACTCTTGCTTCTTTGATTCTGATACAGATGACAAATGTCAGGTACAGTTTTATCTCTCATCTCTTATTATTATCTAGTACAGTATTGTCCATTATTTTCAGCTATTATTTATTATTATCAAGTTAGTGCCGTCAAAATCAAATTTGTCCTCAAAGTTAAACAATCGATTATTTTTCTATCGTCACCGCACTCTATAAAACGTTTATAAAAATATTTGTTGTGGATATTAGATTTTTTTGTCGGTAAATTTATTAATTTATTAGTAACAAGTGGTGTACTGGCGAAGGATCCGTAAATATTTAATATTTATATTGTTTAATCCCTCTGCTCTAGTCTAATACCTACACTTTTTTGCCTCTTTTTCTTGTGAAAGTGTCTCATCTGATGAACGCCTAAAAATAAAGTTATTCTGTTTATTGATCGTGATTCATTCAGTTGCAGCCAGGCCATGACGCAAGTAGTGTTCCACGTCCTTTTATTCCTCCCTGCATTTGCCTGTGAGTATATAACTAAAATTAGTCACAAATTTCGCAAATTTTTAGTCTACACAATTTAAGTCACATTTTTTGACTTTTCGAGATCATTTTCCGTTCTATTCCAATTATTTGATTATTTAGCTAGTTTTATTTTTCGATTTCGCACATAAAGAAATACTTTAAAGTTTAATGTCAAGCATTTTGATTAAATGATTTTTCGCAATTTGTCTCACGGGAAAAGGAAGTAGGTAACTTGTATGAGAACGTAAAAGCAGAAAAACAATGGATTATTAAAGGTGTAATAGTCAAAGTACAGCAGTAAGAACAGTGATCCCATTATATTAATTATAAGTAATGTAAGCTCAATAATATTCATGTCACTATGCTTGGTGTAGCTTGTTGGGATAGTATTATATAGTACTAGAAACCCGCTAGTCGAAAGATTTGTTCGAGGAAATTTTAAAAATCAGTTATGTTTTAATTTCTCTTCATCATACAGCTCTGTTATACAGTAGACATAATGGAATTTATTTAACAATGGCGACAGCGTTGTTATTATTCGGATTCCCAAAACGATACTTTTTACCGCATCAAAAAATACCAATCACAACCAAAGTTATGAATATAAGTCATAGCGTGAGCGTAAATGTGAGCTAGTTTTGAAGTTATGACGTAGCATACAGCATAACAACGCGCGTAGTTAAGATGTCCTTGCTCGCGCACGTGCATTTTAACGTTGCTACGCAACAGCGCAGTAAACCTTTGCTAAAATAACGACATTATTCTAACGGTTATTTTACCTCACTTCCGACGTTAATTATAAAAAATCTAAAGCCTAAATCAAAATTCTAAGAATGCTATAGCCTATTCCTATCCTTTTTCTACAACCCTGCTAAAAATGGCAAGGTTTCAACTCCATTTGCGAGCTGGGTTTGATTTCACCAGAGGGTCATTTTGAGGTCGATTTTCGGTGTTTTTACTTCTATGTCCCCGTTGCCGAGGAAATTTCGTCAAGTTAAAATTATAGTATAGACTAGAAACCCACTAGTCGAATGCTTTGTTCGAGGAAATTTTAAAAATCAGTTATGTTTTAATTTCTCTTCATCATATAGCTCTGTTATACTGTAGACATAATGGAATTTATCTAACAATGGCGACAGCGTTGTTAGTATTCGGATTCCCAAAACGATACTTTTTACCGCATCAAAAAATACCAATAACAACCAAAGTTATGAATATAAGTCATAGCGTGAGCGTAAATGTGAGCTAGTTTTGAAATTATGACGTAGCATACAGAGATACAGCATAACAACGCGCGTAGTTAAGATGTTCTTGCTCGCGCACGTGCATTTTAACGTTGCTACGCAACAGCGCAGTAAACCTTTGCTAAAATAACGACATTATTCTAACGGTTATTTTACCTCACTTCCGAAGTTAATTATAAAAAATCTAAAGCCTAAATCAAAATTCTAAGAATGCTATAGCCTATTCCTATCCTTTTTCTACAACCCTGCTAAAAATGGCGAGGTTTCAACTCCATTTGCGAGCTGGGTTTGATTTCACCAGAGGGTCATTTTGAGGTCGATTTTCGGTGTTTTTTCTTCTATGTCCCCGTTGCCGGGGAAATTTCGTCAAGTTTAAATTATAGTATAGATATAGGAATTTTAGTTCCTATAGTTGGGAATGAGGTAGTTGTCTGTTCACAGATCGCCCTATAAAACTTACAAGGAAATATTTCCTGTAAATCCTTGGTATATAAGCAACATTTGACAGAGCATTGTGTGGATTGAGCTATGTGCCCATCCTTGGAGAACCCGGCGAATGTCCTTGCTGTACGGCAGTGTTAAACAAGGAACTGAAACCGAGGGGTTCCGTTTAGGCCCTTCACACTTTGTTTCTGTCTAGTTCTAATGTACCGTCACAATAGTGACTTTAAATATATACTTTACTGAAATTTTGGTCTGCTTTTAAATTAGTCGCCGAAAAATTCAATCTCAATAAATTTGGTTTACAACAATTTTAGTCAAAATGACTAAATTTATGGTATAGTACACTAAATTTGTCGTTCTTAAAGTTAAGGTAGATTGCAATAGAATGATAATAATAATAATAATAAGTAGAAATTTATACATCGCTTTATAGCCATAAAGAACTCAAAACCCAAAGATTCAGTTCAAACCAACAATGTTTAAATGCATGTGCAGTTTAAAAGTAATTTAAGTTTGTTGCGTCTGTTCTCTAAGGGAATGTTAAACCTGTAAATGCTCTCTAATTCTTTATCATTATAAGCTAGAGCTTCAGTTCTAGCTACATATAATTGATCATGTGAGACAACAGGCAAAGGTAAAAAAATTCCTATTTTATCAATCCTTGACCCTGGCTTTTATTGATAGTTAAAGTTGAACAATATGCTAATTTTATTTTTTATTTTTTATTTACACAATTTGCATGTGGGCGGTCGTACAGACAGACAGAAATAATCTTTCTAATTATATTATAGACTAGAAAGCCCGTGGTAACAGGGACGAAGCTAGTAGTATTCTTTGAAAGAAAGTTTTAATCCTTTAATCGCATCAAAAAATATTCATCTCAACCGAAGATACAGCCGATTTAAATATAAAACACTTTAAACACAACGTAATTACCACAAAACCGATCAAAATGACGTTAAAACAGTCTTTGCACGTGCATGTGTGCATTAAAACACTGTTGCTATGGAACCTTTTGGTTGTTACCTAAATTCCTATTTTTCATCTAATTTTCACGTGGGCGGTCGTACAGACATACATTCTACAGAAATGATTCTCTGAATTATAGTTGAGATAAACAATTTATTCAAATAAAACCGTGGGTTTTTAGAATATATAATTTCAGCTGGATTGGGATACCCCCTAAGAGACTACAGCGACGAGAAATGTCCAATCTGCTACAACCCCAGGGTCATGAACCTTCCTGCTGAATGCACGCGAGATGAAGCCGATGAAACTCGAACTAAAGGTAGAGTGTGTGATCAAGTTTATAAGCGATTTATATGTTACATACCATAAACAATTAACAAATGGGACATAAAATTACGTTAAAGAAAAGGAAAAATGAATCGATAATGATAGAACTATATATAAGATAATTAAAATGAAAATAAAAACGACTATGATCTAATTATCAAGAACGTAATATGGATATTTCTGGGTAGTAATCTAATCTAAATCTTAGTGGATATTATCTAAAATAAACTTAATGTTGTTCGTTACACTTACAGGTATATACAGTTTATTAGTTTATTGTATATAATTACTGCAGATGTTTATTTACAATTAATATTTTATTTTATCCTAGCGTGCGATGAGGATGAACATTGCTACGTGGTCAAACTTGGAGATGATTATGACTTAATCAATTATTACAGCCATGGCAACTACCATAAAGGCTATAATGCCGTATTCCTCTGTGCCGACCACAATGGTAAGCATCATTAAATGTTTATGAATTATATGATATCCTTTCCACTTTTCCAGTGCTTCATGATACTGATAGTAGGTATGTTTTAGAATTCTGAAACTTTAAACATATCTAACATAATCATTATTCATTATGATATAATACATATTATATGTACCTGTACCAGGTACCTATACTTGTAAGTTGTATTGTCTAATATCTAATAAACTAATAATATTTAGTAATCGGAATAAATTAAAAAAACAATTATTTTATCCTTTATGTTATAGGAAGGGCTAATTTACATCGACAAGGAGTTTCGATTAGAGAGGTGGCATTTACGACTGCTCCACCCACGGGCTCAACTAGTAAGTAATCAGCGGGGATTGCATGGTTGCACAGGATTACACAGGAAATTATACAGGATTACATAGGAAATTACACAGGATCACACAAGATTATACAAGATTGCACAGGATTATATACAGGATTACACAGGAGTATCTATACAGGATTACACAGCATACAAATTAAATTGTAGGCCCACAATTTACACTTCCTCTGAGGTTAAGTGTATTGATTTCTCTTGGAGAATTTCTCTTTACACTCTTAACTTGCGAACAAATTGAAGCAGCAGACTTCAGGCTATAAACTAAATAGTTTTTACACATGAATTGTGAATTCTGAACAACCAGTTTTACGTTTACTAATTTAAATTAGTATAGTATCATGAGTAGTACAGAATTTAGTTGTATTAGCTTACATTTCTTCTTGTCGTATTTTTTGTTGTTTTGAATTTTTTGCAATTACATTTTTGGGTCATATTTCGTAAATTTTATTTCTCTGTTTTTGTTTTAATGTTATTTTAAATTTCTTTCCGTCGTTAATTTTACACATGTTTAACAATTTTATTACAGAACTGAAGAAGACGTAGTTACGTGGAATGATTATTTCAATTCAATAAAGTTTATAGCCTAAAGTCTGCTGCTTCAATTTGTTCGCAAGTTAAGAGTCTAAAGAGAAATTCTCCAAGAGAAATCAAGTTCAAATGCGACTCATAAATATAGCCCCCTTGAACTAATTAAGTGTATTGAATTTTAATTTTCTTAACCTCCCAGCTCCGGTACCTATGACATTGGCCGATTTCAAAGAATGGGTGACAGACATGATAGAAACAAAACCGGAAATGGTTTCGCTAACCGTGATCCCATCAATGGCTGATGGACCCATCATCTGGAAACAGACTGTTACCATCTCTTGCAACTGGACACCCGGAATTCGAATGTATGGAGATATAGTGGTGGGAGAAACATTAGAATCCATTTGGGGCGATGAACAGTACGGAGAAATTGTTGACCTCGAAGGTAAAATACAGTTTTTAGTTCGTCTTACCTGTAACATGCCCTGTTTAAATAGATATATCAATGTTCGTCTTGGTAAGATAACACACGTACTGCTTAGATCAGTTAGATGTATGAGCAACTTTTACTAATAAAGAAGCAATAATGCCTATCTTGATTAATAATTAATAATTAATAAATACTATGAAATATTTTTGAGCCGTTAAAACAGCTTCCTAAATTTTCAGATCCGGATCAAAGAATTTACTTCGTTTCTGATGACGATATAGGTGAAGCTATCCTCATCATAAAAGATGTTACTAGCGCTGATACAAGGCAATTCGGATGTGAGGTCTCTCGCAAAGGAAATTCTAACAACATCACTCTTGACATCATTGGTAACTAGAATTTGCTTTTGTCCGTTTTTTATTTGGTCCCGGCCTTTATTTGAAACCTTAATTATTACACATCAATATTTTCGAGCATTGACAAATGCTTTCAGACCTTATATCTGTCAAATTATCACTGCATCTTGAGGGCACAAATAACTCTTGACTTGTAATCAATAGTCATGTAAATCTGCTTTAACCAAGAAACTCTGCAGAACCCCCCATGGCTGGAGTAGTCAACTTCGTTGCTGTCCCTGAATCTACCACGGTTGATCTTACTTGGGATCATGTCGAAGGAGCCTCTAGCTACAATGTAGGATGGCGAGCAGTTGGTGCTCCCGACTGGAACACGGTTAGTTAGTTCTTATTTCTCGACGAAATTCCTGAGTCTTGGATATAAAGTAAAGCTGTAAACGTCGAATCAGTCTTTCAGTCGGTTTATTTCCATGAACATATGGCAAATTGTATAATGTATAAAGAGATCTAAATCTTTAATGTTGAATTGAACTTTCCTCGAGACTGAACGCAGTGCAGCAATCTGACTAAGGATATTACAGGTCGATGTTACAACCAACTCTCACCAATTTGTAGGTCTATCTGTTGCCTCCAACTTTGTGGCCAAGGTAGATGCTTCCAACGCTGCCGGAATTAGAGAGGGAATTGAGCCTGCTGAGACTTCCTTTACCACAAAGGATAACCGTAAGCGTAAATCGTTTATTTTTTTGATAAAAACTTGTATCTTGTGAAAAAAAAGGAAATATAAACTTGTAAGAGAACGTGAAAGCATAAAAGCAGTGGATTATTACACGTGTAATAGTCAAAGTACAGCAGTATGAACAGTGATGTCATTATATTTATATTAACTATAAACAATGTAAGCTCAATAATATCCATGTCATGTATGCTCTACTGAAATTTTGGTCAGCTTTTAAATTAGTCACCGAAAAATTCAGTCTTGATAAATTTGGTTTACAACAATTTTAGTCAAAATGACTAAATTTATGGTACACTAAATTTGTCGTTCTTAAGGTAGATTGCAATAGAATGATATGCACAATGTTTAAATTAAAATGCATGCGCAGTTTAAAAGTTATTTAAGTTTGTTGCGTCTGTTCTCTAACGTCTTAACGTAATGATAGGAAGTTAAACCTGTCAATGCTCTTTGACTCTTTTATCTTTATGAGCTAGAGCTTCAGTTCTAGCTACATATAATTGATCATGTGAGACAACAGGCAAAGGTCAAAAAATTCCTATTTTATCTTAATCCTTTACCCTGGCTTTTATTGATAGTTAAAGTTAAACAATATGCTAATTTACATATTTGCATGTGGGCGGTTGTACAGACAGATAGAAATAATCTTTCGAATTATATTATAGATAAACAATTTATTCCTATAAAACCATGGGTTTTTAGGATATATCTTACTTATAATTCAGAGAATATACGACCGCCCACGTGCAAATTAGATGAAAATAAGAAGTTGCATAGTAACCATAGTAACGAGGGTTATTACACGCACGTGCACGTGCATTGTATCGTTTTTATCGTTTTTGTTGTTATTACGTTGTGTTCAGCGCGAGCTACATCTTAATCGGTTGTATCTTCGGTTGTGATGGATATTTTTGATTTGATAAAAACTGACTGAAAAAAATATAAAAATACTAGCTTCTTCCCTGTTACCACGGGCTTCATAGTTCTTAATAAAATAGTTCTAAATAAAAGGATTGTACACAGATATCATTTGGTTAGCTGGACTTTCGTAAACTCAAGAAAGAGATCACGTCGATTAATATTTTATAAGGGTAGTACACGATACAAATTTGAAATTTTGAAGTACATTTTTATGTATTTTATATGTTGTGATAGAATGTTTGATATTTACCCACTATATTTCACAGGGTGGATTAGCCCACAATTACAACAGAGCTACAGCCTAGAATTAAGTCAAACCCTGGAACTAAAGACCACCATGAATCAGGTTGAAGCCCCCATAACCGTTTATTTTATTTTCCCCGAAGACGAAACTCAGTTCATCAACTTCAAATGCACGGATCTTAACTCAAGCAGATGGATCCTCATGATCAAACAATGCATGACTGACTCGTGGGATGCGGCCCAGCCCCTGAATGGAGTTTCAAGTGACCAGATAAAAGTGTGGCGAATCACCCGAACAGAGACCAGCTTGCTAGTGGAGTGCAATGGTGTGACTGTCCTTATCTTCAACTTCGCGAGTGACTACAAGGACGGTTTCTCAAGCTGTCATAGCTTCTGGACTAGGCATTCCAAAGCGATCAAGTTTAACTGGAGTGGCGGATTGTATAAAAACAACGGGCATTTGTCCATGAGAACAGCTGTAAATAAGGGTATATATTTTGTTAACATTCATTAACTAATTTTGGTCTACAGCATTTTGGTTTGATATTATAATAAACCACGTGCAAATTAGGTAAAAAAGAAAAAGGTTGCAAAGTAACCATAGTAACGAGGGTTATTACATTTACACGCACGTGCACATGAAATGATTTTTCAACGTCATTTTGATCGGTTTTGTTGATGTTAAGTGTTACGCTGTGTTTAGTACGAGCAACATTTTAATTGGCTGTATCTTCGGTTGTGTAGGATATTTTTTGAACTTACTAAAGTACTAACAAAAAATACTATTAGAGTATTAGCTTCCTCCCTGTGACCATGGGTTTTCAATTATAGTCTTACTTATAATTCAGAGAATTCCCTTTGTATGTACGACCGCCCACGTGCAAATTAGATGAAAAATAAGAAGGTGCATAATAACCATGGTAACGGTGTTCAAAAGCTCACGTGCACGTCATGCAAAGATTTGCGACCGGCATTTTGATCGGTTTAGTCGAATTACGTTGTGTTCAGTGCGAGCTACATTTTAATCGGCTGTATCTTCGGTTGGGATGAATATTTTTTTTATGCGATAAAAACTGTCTACCAAAGAATACTATTAGTTTCCTCCCTGTGAGTGTGACCACGGGCTTTCTAGTCATATATAATTTCAGCTGGATTAGGATACCCCCTAAGAGACTACAGCGACGAGAAATGTCCAATCTGCTACAACTTGTTCGGGGGCAACCTTCCCGCTGAATGCACGCGAGATCAAGCCGATGAAACTCGAACTAAAGGTAGAGTGTGTGATCAAATTTATGAGCGATTTATATGTTACATACCATAAGGCATAAACAATTAACAAATGGGACATAAAATTACGTTTAAGAAAAGGAAAAATGAATCGATAATGATAGAACTATATATAAAATAAAGATAATTAAAATGAAAATAAAAACGACTATGATCTAATTATCAGGAACGTAATATGGATATTTCTGGGTAGTAATCTAATCTAAATCTTAGTGGGTATTATCTAAAATAAACTTTATGTTGTTCGTTACACTTACAGGTATTTACAGTTTATTTAATTAGTTTATTTAATTAGTTTATTGTAGATAATTGACATACGTTGCATGCCACTTTTCGCGCGCGAAGCGCGCGCCGCCGAAGGCAGATGTTTATTTACAAATATTCTATTTTATCCTAGCGTGCGATGAGGATGAACATTGCTACGTGGTCAAACTTGGAGATGATTATAACTTAAACCATCGCAGCAATGGCAACTACCATGAAGGCTATAATGCTGTATTCTTCTGTGCCGACCACAATGGTAAGCATCATTAAATGTTTATGAATTATATGATATCCTTTCCAGTGCTTCATGATACTGATAGTATGTTTTAGAATTCTGCAACTTTAAACATATCTAACATAATCATTATGATATCTATATTAATATTATATGTACCTGTACCAGGTACCTATACTTGTAACTTTGTAAGTTGTATTGTCTAATATTTAATAAACTAATAATATTTAGTAATCGGAATAAATTAAAAACTATAAAACAATTATTTTATCCTTTATGTTATAGGAATAGCTTATTTACGTGGAAAAGGAGTTTCGATCAGAGAGGTGGCATTTACGACTGCTCCACCCACGGGCTCAACTAGTAAGTAATCAGCGGGGATTGCCATGCAGTTGCACAGGATAATTACACAGGAAATTACACAGGAAATTATGCAGGAAGTTACACAGGATTACACTAGATTATACAGGATTACACAGGATAACACAGGAAATTACACAGGAAATTACACAGGACATTACACAGGATTACACAAGATTATACAGGATTACACAGGATTACACAGGAAATTACGCAGGATTACACAGGATTACACAGGATTGTATGCAGGGTTACACAGGATCATATGCAGGATTATATACAGGATTACACAGGACATTACACAGGATTAAAACAGAGGATTACACAGGAGTATATACAGGATTACACAGGATTATATGCAGTATTACACAGCATACAAATTAAATTGTAGGCCCAAAATTTACACTTACCTCTGAGGTTAATAGAGTTTTGACTTTTAATTTTCTTAACCTCCCAGCTCCTATGACTACATTGGCCGGTACCAAAGAATTGGTGACAGACACGATAGAAACAAAACCGGAAACGGAAGAGAGCGAATACGAATTACATCCGTCAGATGCAACTCACGAAGGGGATCAAGTTCTAGAAAAATGTATATTTGAAATTGAAGCAGCGATCCGCCATCCAACACAACAATATGGTTACGTCTTTTCTCGTGGTATATACGTCAGACTCGAGGCTGATGACATGTACGAACAAATCTTACTACACTATTAGTATAGACAATAATAAACATGATTTATCATGATTGAGCAGTCGCAGAGTTACGCACACTCTTCTAAAAAAGATAGCATGACTCGGTGTACTCGACTGAAGCTACATTCCATTTCAACATTCTTATATAACTCGGAAGTTGTAGCTACATACTAAACCAATCAATCATAACAAATGTCAAATGTCAATATACCAGGAACATGCCGGTAGTATCGGAAGGTTTTCCAAAGTACGTTGATAGCATATTGCCGGAACTGAGCGGGAAGATAGAAGCAGCTTTTACTGACTACGATAACGCTAGAACTTTCTTCTTTGTTAATTACGACGAGAAATCGTAAGTTCGTCATTTATTTTGTTTTTAAGCATTAAGGTTTTTAAAAGAACGGCCCCGGCCTCTCTGTCATCTGCAGTTTAAGCTTATTGTGTTTAATTAAGTCACGTGATAGTCGAGTGTAATGTGATTAATATGGTATTCATAGCTCCGTACGACAAACTGCAAACAAATTCGAACGAAGCTGACGATTGACAAATTTAAAATCTCCGAAACAACAATCTCGATCTGTCGTATCAATCATATTTCGTTTGAACATTCCGGAACCCAGTTCATGTTCGTATTCATATTTTCACAACATGACATACAATATAATCATAATTATAAGTCCCTGTAATACAATTGTGTATTACTATCATCATCGTCTATGTTGATATTTCAGGACAAGGCAAGTGTACAGATGGGACTGGCTCTACTCTGAAATGAAAAGGGAGGATGAGAGGACATTTGCCGCTCTTCCTCAAAATGATATCAAGGGGATCGCCAGGTTAGTTTGAGCCGCGCAACACTAACAACACGTGCAGCACTAACATTAACAACACGGGGGTTGTGCAAAAAGGGGGAGGAGGATTTCTACAAAATGACGTGAATGAATATTTCTCACTGTCTAAATTCATTCCATGATTATGAACATGAGTTCTCATTTCTAATATGCTGGTCCCTCAGTTACCGTAGCAGTGTTGCGTTCCTGTTTGCAAACGAGTACTATGAGTGGACACCAAAGTTAGGGCTGAACAAGGAGGGTAGAAAATATAACAAACACGATGAACCAACGAATGAAAGTGGAGCTTTTGATGCTTTCTTACAAGGCTACCACCACAATGGCAGAAACAACGTACCGGAGGTAAAATAACTTAAATAAAGCAGTCCTGATTTAATACTAACAGTCAGGGCCGGATCGTTAACATATTACAAATACATGAAGGGAGGGCCGTTAATTGGAGAAGTTAGTTTAAAATATGGCTTACGCGTACGCAATATTATTGAATATGTGAACGACGTCTTCCACTGCACTGCAAAAATTACTCATGCGGGGATCCCAGGCTTCATCATCATGTTCATAAACACATTGACATTGTGATTGAAACCGATTGAAGATATGATGGAATGACAGGCTGATCAACGCCTCCCAGTAAGTTACGTGTTGATGATGCTCAGACAATTAATACATGAATAATACGTATTTTAAAAACACTAATAAAATACGTATTTCAGAAATACGTGCTGCTCAGATCAGACGTAATGCATGGCGGCAAGATTCTACACACCTACTCATATCTTCGCTTTGAAGAGGAAATGAATCTCCACGTGTGCGTTGACCATAACGATCATAACGCACGTACATAAGTTAACCATTGTCTGTAATCAAGCGTACATAGTTCAAAACGTTAAAGTTAGACCACGAGACTTTTAAATGTTGTGCTACTTATACTTATAGCTGTTCAAATATTTTACTTGAAAATATAGTTTAATCATTGTTTTTTTTTAATTGTATGGAGCTTCTGGTATAGACTATAGATCGAGTAGATATATGTAGTAATATAGTGCGTATATTTTAGCTTTACTTTATAATTTATATTAATTAGTTAATTTAAGATCAATAGAAACCTAAAACCAGTTATGAGCATAGTAAATCTAAGATGTATCTTAATGAATTGATTACTCTGCTAAGTGCATGCATAGTTGTTTAATAGTTGATAGTTCAAAAGTTTGTAATTTGTAAACCAAGATTTTTCATTTTGTTCGTCGAAAAAGAATAAAATCAATTGAGTGACAATACAAAACTTAAAATAAGTTAGACTTTATAAGGATATGCATAAATTAGAAAACCGACAATAAACAGGGATTTACTAGAAAACTGATACATTTCTCCCATCTTATCCTCTCAAAAATTGTATTTAAGCGGTATTTGGCAAGCGGTATTTAATGAAAAAATCTAACGATTATTCAAAGGAAACTAAAAATGAAGTTCAAAAAATTGATATTTCCTATTTTAAAGACCTTGGCTATTGACAAAGCCAATTCAATAAAATATCTTGTCGATTGTGGCTTCTCGAAAAAACGTGATAGTATTTCTCTTAAGCATCTACAATATCAATTTATTGAAAACCTCCTCAGGGTGATTCATATGTACTACCACAGCTACAGTGACCATCAAAGTTCATCAGACCTATCAATTAACAGATTAACTTATAGTCCAATTAACCATTAATTGTACTATCAAAGTCCGTCCAATCATCTCATCACACAGTGTATTCTTTTCCCGTGATCATGTAGTAGTGAGCGTCACCGTGTATATACTGCGACTGTGTGTCCCTCATAACGAGAGGTATTCGGTAACTTTCCAAGTATCCGTCGTAAATTATACCTGAAAAGTAGGGTATATTAATTAATTGATATAATCAACAGTATATAATTTATTTAAATATAGTGAAGAAGATGTTTTATGCTGCTTCTTTTTCTTTTGATTGGTCGGCGTCGACAGTAAGCCTTCCTTACGGTGGCTTTCACAACGCGTCCCCATTCTCCAACTCCTGCTGCCGGAGAGAGAGACTCCCAAATTATATAATATATACCATAAATATATTAAACATAGATATCGACAACAGACTCCGAGAGTCTTGAAGTTCTGTTACCACCGCCCCTGGTGCAACCCCGCCGGGTTAACGACGGAGAGACAGGGACTTCCAGGGGAGGTCATGGCCTGCTACGTGCAACTCGTAGGAGTATGCAATGTTCCTGTAACGTCACTCTGTCACTGTAGACCGCTCCTCTATCGTTGTTTTGAGTGTCCGATCCAAAACCAAATCCTAGGGTACACGAGACGCGGAAGCCTGTGAGCGTGTTAGAGTCTTTTAAGTGTTAGAGTCCTAGGGTTACACGAGACGTGGTAGCCTGTGAGCGTGTTAAATCCTGGGGTTACACGAGACGTGGTAGTCTGTGAGCGTGTAGACCGCTCTTCTATCGTTGTTTTGAGTGTCCGGAAGGTGTTATTTGCCTGTGGGAAAAGCGGTTATGCTGCAGTTCTAAGGTTAGTAAAGGCTATTAGAGCCTTTCCTTTGTTGTAGAGATGGCTAGTCCCTTCCTTTGCATAGGTTAGAAACACCCATGCACCTCCCGTTCGAGCCACCCACCCCACACCGCGTGGAGGTTCGGTGAGGTTTTTCGTGGGGCATGTTGCATTGCAGTGGCGAAAATCGTCGTCATTTTCATCATGATGAAATGTGACATTTTTGCCAACGAGCTGCAATGTTGCAATAGCGGAATTAAATAGGGCCATCAATATTTATCAATAATCTAAAATGGGCAGAACTCCAAATATTTAATTGAGAACTTACTCATAAGTTTACTATATAAACTAGGGTCCGTTAACTTGTGAATGTAAATCCGAGCTTCCTTCCTCATTCTATAATCCTCACATGATGCTATCACTGTTTCATCTCTTATCCTGCAAATTGGTAACATTTAGATATTACAGTCTCAAATTTTCTAACTCAATGAATGGGAATTGCGAACTTGAACACAACATGCTTTAAAACAAATAACCTTATCAAATAGACTCAAGGATCGCATAAGCTACCCAGTACCTAAAGCCGTAGTACATACATATTACATTATAGTTTATACTGGAGCTTACACAGTGTAATTTTCTCCAGTCTGCGCCGCGTACGTTTATATAGGCGCGCGGCGCAGACTGGAGGAAATTACACTGTGTAAGCTCGATTCGGTGTAATGTAATATGTATGTACTACAGCTTAATTAAGAATAACAAATTAATCCCGCATATCTAACCTTTGGAACATTTCGATGGCTTTCTCTTTGTTACGGAGTCTCAAGTGTGCTTTGGCAATGTGCATCGTGTTTTGGACCTGAAATGAAGATTTACTTTTATAACCTATTACTGATAAAACGTGTAAGTCAATTTGAAGTATGTAAATCTAATGATGGTTCGAAATATCTATAATTGAATAAAAACAGTGTGGAGAATATCTGCAGGCTCATTTTGTTGAAACACGCAATTTAAAAATAGAAAACTACAAAACTGCAAACTATACAGGGGGGGGGGGGCTAAAGTCACATACGTTGAGTCTTATACCACCGCCGTGTTTCATATTTGAGACTTGTAACTTTGCAGACGGTATATAATACTGTAACTGATTCCGTCGCAAAAATTTGAAAATTTGATTTTTAGGGGCCACGCCCAATCAACATTGATTTGCGTATACTCGTGTTTCTGAACATGTTCGAAACTCTACTGTAACATATTGCTATAGGACGTGAAATCAGGAATATGATCTGAAAAGATGGAACAAAACTGATGTGAAATCCGGAGGGGGATATTTAAAACATATAAGTGATACGAAAGATTTTATTAGCAGGAGCTTTCAAAATGCTTGTGTAAATCGTCTTCATCTGTGAAAATGAAAAAGTTATCAAGCAATTAGTTTCTGTCGTTAGCTAAATTGATTGGGTAATAATCAATGATTACCCTATCACTAATAGACAGTTTTTGGGTTTTCCAAATAGTTTCTGGTTATTCTGATTTGCGACAAATGATATTGCACTGTTAGGATAAACGACGTTTCAAAGTAACAACTTCTTATTCATGCTGACAAAATTGGTAAATATGTGAGAAAACTGTCTCATTAAATTTATTAATCAAAAATGGCTAAACGACAACAAATTGTTCAAATACTCGACTAAAATTAGAATCAAAATCTATATATATACACCACTACTCGATCTGCTATTCAATAAACTTAAAACATCCACTAAACCGCAAGTACGTGATTGTGATCGTGTGATGGAATGACATGTACAGTGATAACAGATGATAAGATGTAAGTGATAACAGATGATAAGGTAAAAGATACAATACATGTGAGATGGTGTATACACAATGTGAGTGAAATTATAGTGAGTGGTTACTGATTGTGAGCGAGATGTGAAAAAACATTAAAAATTACTACTGCTAGAAAACTGAAACTGTAGGCAATAAAAAGGGAATGAAACTAAAATATCTAAAATTCTTCAGTACTAGCTATGATAAAACGTTTAATAGTATCCAGTTCTTCTCTCTTGTTAATTGTAGGGTTCAGATTAATAATAAACATCGCTTCGAAAATCTTTCTTCTGACAGTATTGGGCTCAATTCTTAAAATATCTACTTCTAAACTGGGATTTAACTCCTCATGACAGCTCGAATAATGTATGGCAAAAGCTTGACTAACATTAGAAGGGGTAGCAGGGTAGGTAGCGTAACGTAAGTGTTCTCCTACACGAGCATGTACTTTCCTACTGGTTTCTCCAACGTACAGCTGGTCACATAATTTACACTTAATCTTATATACAACATTCTTCACTTCACAATCTTTATTACAAACTATCAAAGGACAAATTTTACATGAATTAATACTGCACACACGTTTATCATACGGTCTGTTACTACATAAAATATTTCTCAATTTCGAAGTAGGTTTAAAGTTTACTTTAATAGGTAAATTGTTCTGCTTTACATAATTTCTAATCTTATTGCTAGTACTGTCCGAAATAAAATCTAAATTAAGAACTGTCCTGGAATCATCCTCAACACTCTGACGCCTGTTAGAATTACTACTGTTACAATAACGTCTTGGGTTCTGGTACCCGTTTTTCTGTAATAGATCATCAAGGAGTCTGAGAGAGTGCTCCTTTTCCGCTGGGCCAGATGAGATACGGCAAGCCTCGCTATATAGGTTCTTCACTGTATTAATCTTAACAGACTCAGGATGGCAAGAGTTGTTGTGCAGGGTAATATCCTTTTGTTGCGGCTTGCGGTACAATCTGCTGGTTGATTTACCGTTTGGCTCGATCCGGACCTCAGTGTTCAGGAAGGGGATAAAATCGTCCTGTTGTTCTGGAAAGTCGACCTCCCACTTCAACTTTTTGTCCGGATCTTGGTCTGCAATCTGTTGAACCAGAGCAAGGGCTTCTTCTTTCGTCTCTGCAGTACTGGCAGCATCATCTATGTAGCGTTTGTAGAAGTTCGATAAGTATACCGATAGGTAGTGTCGATCGGTGTAGATAGAGTTCTTCTCGAACTTGTACACTCTAATGATGGCACAGAAGGGCCCTGGCCTCAAACCCATGAACAGACCATCCTGCTGTAGCCAGAGAGTCCTGTTATACACAAAGAAAGAGTTGGTAAGGATGTGTAGTAGGATCTCATGAATGTCTGTCAGGCTGAGTCCCATCAGGTCCAAGCTGTCTCGGTGCTCTGTAGCTAGCTCAATGACATCGTCTATACAGCCCTGTACGTTTATGTGAGTGTATAAAGCTGAAATATCCGCGGCAAAGAACTTTCTCCTGGCAAGCTGTTCCTGAGAGATCTGGCGGAGCATCTCTATGTGCTGGATTAAATTACTCAGGTGACTAGGCACCTCATTAAGGAGAGGTTTAAGAATGGTCGTCACTAGCCAACTGAGTCTCTCTGTAGGTGAGTCCACGCAGCTGATGATGGGTCTAACCTTAACCTGCTCAAGAGGGATCGTCGAGCGGAAGCTCTCCGGAGGGTTCTTGTGGGTCTTGATTTGGACGTACATGACTGGGAGGCTGACATGGTCAGGAACTCTGATCCGTCGTTTGTAGTCGTCGTCAAGGTTCCGCTGTGATGAGATCTTCTTCCACAGGTTATTCGACTCCTATCACTAATCATGTGATAGCTTGCTACGAAACCGTAATTAGGATCTCTGTCACAGAGATTCTCTGTGCACGATTCCCATAATGCGGATCTAGTATCAACCAAATCACCTGATCACACGTAATGAACAAACTCGTTATGCTCCATATCTCGGTCGTCTGAGAAGCTAGAACTCGCAATTTTTCAGGGTATCAATGTAATTTGAATGGCCAAACACAATCCAATACAATTTGGCTCGATCCAATTATTCAATCTATCAAATGAACATTCATTCGAAAAAGTGGTAATAGTGGTAATAGCAAGTCATACCAGAAAAAATTAACTCAGTCAGGCACTCACTGATTGAGCTATTAAGGCCAAAGTATGTGCACTGACTTTTTGGTGCACTGACAAACAAAAATATTTGATTTCCACGATAAATGTTGGGGGGGGGGGGGGGGGGAGCGTCAAATAAATAAATATACATAAATACCTATACCTATTTTGAAATCGGAGGGAATAATAGGTATTTATGAGGTTGATGCCCCCCCCCCCCGGCCCCCCTTCGTACTGATTATGGAGAATGTAAATCTATCGGTTCCCCCTCAAACATTTAACATTAAAATTACATTAAAATACGGAATTACGCACATTATTTCAAAGAATATTGAATATTGTTTCGGATAATAGAATTACATTGAATCACAGACTTTACTCTTTAGGTACCCATGAAGAAAAAAAAACACCACGAGTCACTAGTCAGTGAGTGATATGTGAAGCTCAATGATATAACTTTCCATCACATACATATTTCTCTACCTTTAGCTCGCTCTCTTCAGTCTTCTAGTATTTCCTCTCCTAGTTTCTTAACGTTACAGGATAATGTTGGGCATTTTGTTTCAATGTTCAAATTCTGTGAAAATAAAGGAATTCATCCTAAAACACTTCTTAATCATCACTGAGGTATGAGTACGATTGTTTATTATTGTTTTGTTTTGTGCGGTTTCGATATCTTTGTGGGTGATAGATATTAATAATCTCTCCCCAGTAATAATCGCTTATTGTAATCGTTAACATCCCTTCATTTGATCAGGTTATAGCTGTAGTATTAGCGTTTGCTTGGCCGCTTCCCGGATCCAAACTGTCCAACTCAACTGTCTCTCTTTACATTGTGGCTGTCATATTTTTCTTTACTGGTAAATTATTCTTAAAGCTAGTAAACAGTACATTTTTGCATAACTATTCAGTTGAAGTGCTTCACGGCTTACCTTGAATCAACAATCGTGTACATGACGATATCTGCATTACAGCTTTATAGAATGAAATTGAAAACATTTTCACATATTTCAGGACTAAAGCTGAATACAGATGAACTAAAATCAGTCTACAGGGCAGTTGATGTTGTCATCATTTGTTGTGTTACTTCACTGGTTATTACAACACTCATTCCAGGATACATCGTTCATCAGGTATGTGTTTACATTAGGAATTTATTGCCCCAAAATATCTGATAGTAAACCGATTCGAATTAATGTTAAAACTAAAATTTAATTTCATTTAAGTGTATTAGAATCCTTAAAATACACGTTGCTCCAGTTGCCATTTGATAAGAAAGATGGTTCAAGCAACGGAACCTTTACATTTGGTCCAGATGAACTGAAACTTGGGATAATTCTATTTAACTGTACTCCCGCCACTATCGCTACTGGTATGTATGTTGGACTAATAATTCGTAACCGAATAATTATGATTGACCATATTTTCTTCATATCAAACATTATCAGTTTAATACCAGCTGTTCTTTTTCCGAATGCCAAAATCGGTCGAGGAACACATTTACATTTTTCATTCGAATCTAATATACGATAATAATATTCGAATCTAATAGAAACGCGAACATAACTTTCTAACATCTACATCTACTCGTGCTGACCTTGTACCTTACTTTTAGGTATAATAATGGTAACGGGAGCTGAAGGTGACGTGGCTGTAGCAGTGGCTGTCTCCACTATCACAAACCTTGCTGGCTGTTTCCTTAATCCTCTTATCTTCTCACTCTTCGTAGACGCAGGTTGGAATACAACCTTTTCAACAGTAGTTATATAGACTAATAGAACATTAGGGCGGAAGTGAGTGTTACTCAAAACGTAGCGGAGAGTTTGTTAATGTGTATTATAAAATAGTCGAGTATATTAGACAATAGTATAGACA